AAAAAAAAATGTTAAAACGTTACTTACTAGGCTTTGTCTGGATAAAAAAAATTTTAAAGTTTTTCACCTTTAAAAATATAATAAGAGCATTTAGTTATATGATTATATTTAAGTTAGTTTATTTTATCGTGTATAGATATTTAGACACTGAATTTTTAGGTACTTTTTTATCTTCTATTATTGCAGGTTCTATTCTTGTAATTTTTAAATTTATTTTTCTTGGGCTTGTTGAAGGTTTAATTACTCCTCTATATTGTGACGAAGATGATTATGATAATAACGATGAATCTTCCAAAAGTAAAGAAAATAATGATAGAGAAACAGAATTGAATACTATGATAGATAATTATAAAAAAGAACTTAAAGGATTTGAAGAAAGTTATCATAAGCCTCGTCAAAAGGCGTATGATTGTATGTTAAGAATTAAAGAAAAAGATCCACATTATTTCTTAGATAAAGCTAATTTTGATACTCTTTCATATATCAAAATTCTTTATCTTGTAGAAACAAGTAAAGGAAGTCTCTTAACACGTGAGGATATGCATATTGCACAAGATATGTTTTTGGGTATGGCTATTACTCAACAAGAGTATGAACAAATAGGTAAGCCTGTAATTCCTAACTTTAAAGTTAATTTCACTATGACTAAAGAAGAACTAGAAAATATATATAGACGTCGTGGAGTTGCTTCTGACGAAGTAACCAAAACTTAAATCTTTTTTGTATTTCGGATTAGCGTCTTTAAAACTGAAATAAATCATTTATTTCATTAATTTGCTTTTGTTTTAGTAAAAACTAAGAAGTGAAATAAGCATTACTTTACTGCTTAAATAAGTAGTAAAGTCAAGATTATGTTGTAAATGGCTTTTACACTATGATTGCAAATCATTAGTATGAGGTTCGATTCCTCCATAGTCTTTAATTTCTTATTATAATAATAAATAATATTTAATACTATTTTAATTTAAATATATAGTATAATTAAAAATTAAATTAAATAAAAATTACTAATGTTATAAGAAGAGAAAATATAAATTAATAGCTTTATATATAAGGTTAGTTATGTACATACATCGTTAGCCTTATATATGTGCGCGCATTTCGTCAGATTAATTTATGCTAGCGTGTGTGTGTGTGAAATCACTATCAAGTATTCACATCACCACTGTACGGACGTCTAGGCATATCTAGGGCTAGGACGCTGCTTGTGAAGTAGTACTAGCTTTAGAACTTAAATTATTTTTTTAATAATAATATTTATTAAGATTATTAATAAATTCCTAGCGCGAATAAAGCACTACAACTTTATTAAATTTATTTTAATTTATATATTCTCTTCTATATTTTTTAGACTTTGGTTAATAATATAGACACGGATACGGACAGGAACATTTCATTAAGATCTCAAATCTCTATGGGATTTGAAAGATGATTTTATTCTACTAATGCTAAAGATATAGGTACTTTATATTTAATTTTTGCCTTATTTTCAGGGTTATTAGGTACTGCTTTTTCAGTATTAATAAGATTAGAACTTAGTGGACCTGGAGTTCAATTTATTTCAAATAACCAATTATATAATAGTATAATTACAGCACATGCTATATTAATGATATTCTTCATGGTTATGCCTGCATTAATTGGAGGTTTCGGTAATTTTTTAATGCCTTTAATGGTAGGGGGACCTGATATGGCATTCCCTAGACTTAATAATATAAGTTTCTGATTATTACCACCTAGTTTAGTATTGTTAGTATTCTCTGCAGTTATTGAAGGTGGAGCAGGTACAGGTTGAACTCTTTACCCACCTTTAGCAAATATACAAAGTCATAGTGGACCTAGTGTAGATTTAGCTATTTTTACTTTACATTTAACAGGGGTAAGTAGTTTATTAGGAGCTATAAACTTTATAACTACTGTTATAAATATGAGAACACCTGGAGTTAAATTACATAAATTAACTTTATTTGGATGAGCAGTAATTATAACAGCTGTATTATTATTATTAACATTACCTGTTTTAGCTGGTGCTATTACTATGGTATTAACAGATAGAAACTTTAACACTTCATTCTTTGAAGTAGCCGGAGGGGGTGATCCTATATTATTCCAACATCTTTTCTGATTCTTCGGTCATCCTGAGGTTAAATTTATAAGCCTCATAATGTTGCTGTATGCTGGAAACACTTCGCTATCAAGTTTTAAATACTCCCTCTTTATAGATACAGTAAAAAAGTTAAAACAATGAAGTCAATCAGCAGGTAACACTTTAAAAAGTGGAACCTCAGAGACTATACGCAACAATACTGAAAATATAAAAAATATTTCTGTTCATACATCTACACATCTAAAACCGTTAAATGATGAAATGTTTGGACATTATCTAGCAGGATTAATAGATGGAGATGGGCACTTTAGTTCTCAACAACAATTAATAATTGTTTTTAGTTCTCCTGATGTTCAACTAGCATATTATGTAAAAAGTGTAATAGGCTTCGGTAATGTTAAACAAGTGAAAGATAAAAATGCTTATTTGTTTATTATTTCAAATAAGGATGGTATACTTAAAGTTCTTAATTTAGTAAATGGAAAATTAAGAACTAGGAATAAATTTAATCAAGTTCTTACTAATGTATTAGTACATCCTAGATACGTAAAAGAGAATATAGAATTTAAAATAAATGATTCTAATTCTTTAGATAATCATTGAATTGCAGGATTTTCGGATGCAGATGCTAGTTTCCAAATCAAAATTATTAATAAAAGTAATAGATCCAAACCTGAAATTAGATTAAATTTTCAAATTGATCAGAAAGATAAAGATATGTTAATCCTTATAAAAAATTTATTTGGGGGAAATATAGGTTACAGAGAAAGTCAAAATACGTATTATTACGGTTCAACTAGTTTTGGTTCTGCTCGTAATGTAATTAATTATTTTGATAAATTTCATCTACAATCTAGTAAACATAACAATTATCTTAAATGAAGAAAAGCATATATATTAATCCAAGAAAAGCATCATTTAACTGAGGTAGGTATAGATAAAATTATGAATTTAAAAAATTCGATGAACAGAAATTCAGTATAAGATAGAGTCCTAACAAGGACGAAAGTTCTTGAGTATTAATTTTAATAGATCTTAAGACTATTAGATTAATCAAAATTTTGTTATATTTTAATTATACCAGGTTTTGGTATAATTAGTACTGTTATATCTACAAGTTCAAGTAAACCTATTTTTGGTTATATTGGAATGGTTTATGCTATGATGTCTATAGGAATCTTAGGATTTATTGTATGAAGTCATCATATGTATGTTGTAGGTTTAGATGTAGACACAAGAGCTTATTTCACAGCAGCTACTTTAATTATAGCTGTACCTACTGGTATTAAAATATTCTCTTGATTAGCTACAGCTTATGGTGGATCTATAAGAATGACACCGCCTATGATATGAGCATTAGGTTTTGTGTTTATGTTTACAATCGGAGGGTTCCCGAAATGATGCTTGGCCCTAAAGACCACTATATGCTAGGAAATTTGTTTGATTAGATTAAAACAGTAAATTTTAATTTAATTTATAAAAGAATAATTAGCAGGAAACGAAACGAAACAAGACAAAAATAACTGATTTTCTTAGTAGGATCTTCAGAGACTATACGTGGTCCTCATTATGTATTTACATAGAGAAAAAATAGTCCGTTAAAAATGATGTTGTAAGTGGTGTAGTAATAGCTAATGCTTCTATAGATATAGCTTTCCATGATACTTATTATGTAGTAGCTCATTTCCATTACGTTTTAAGTATGGGAGCTGTATTTGCTATGTTTGCTGGATGATATTTCTGAGTACCTAAAATAATAGGTTTCAATTATAACCATTTCTTAGCTAAATTACAATTCTGATTATTATTCATAGGGGTTCTTTTAAAGGGAAGTACTTTTGTAATAAAGGATAGATTATATAGAAGAATTTCGACAAATCGTAGAAATTCTCAGTTTGAACCAGAAGAGTTTGAATTATTTTTTGAAAATGTTAATAAAGAAAAAAGAAATATATATAAACAATTAAGAAAAAAATCAGGTGTTTATTTATTTATAAATAACCATACTAATGATATATATATAGGTAGTAGCACAAATTTAACTAGTAGAATGGTTAGTTATTATTACTATACTAATAGCCAAAACCCTTCTAAATTAGTTATAATTAGAGCTATGAAAAAATACGGCTTAGATAATTTTTCTTTAGCAATTCTAGAATTTTGTGAAAAAGATGCTTGTTTAACCTTAGAACAAAAATGAATTGACCATTATAAACCTAAATATAATGTTTTAACTGTTGCTGGCAATTCATTAGGTTATAAACATAGTATTGACACAATTAATAAATTAAAAGAAAAACTAAGCAAAGAGAATCATCCTAACTTTGGTAATGTGACTTCTTCTGAGACTAGGAAAGCTATTAGTGATAGTATAAAGAATTTTTATGCAGAAAATAGTCACCCTAGAAAAGGATTGAAAGGTTTATTAGCACCTCAGTATGGTATAGGTGGTAAATTCGTCTTTTGTTATAATAGACAAGGTGAAGAACTGATCTTTCCTTCCATAAATGGAGCTAGACAATACTTTAAGGTTAGATGATCTTTAATCAAAAATAACATTGATAAAAATAATTGAATAACTATTAATGGCCAAGATTGATTAATACAATCTATCCCTAAACAAGATTAGTTTAATTAGCCCCTCCCAATCCTTCTATATGCTGGAAACTCTCATAAAGCTTAAGTACTTATTTAATAAGTGATAATCTTAAGTGTATCTAGACAATCAGCAGGAAACCAAAATAACAATCCATGTTATCGGTAGGATCCTCAGAGACTACACGAAGGAGATTATTTTTAATTAGTTAAAAATAATCAAGATATAGTCCACACAATGTGTAATTTAACATTCTTCCCTCAACATTTCTTAGGTTTACAAGGTATGCCAAGAAGAATAAGTGATTATCCTGATGCTTTTGCAGGTTGAAATTTAGTAAGTAGTTTAGGATCTATAGTTAGTGTAGTTTCTGCTGCATTATTTTTATATATTATATACTTACAATTAGTTGAAGGTAAAGTGTCTGATAGAAATCCTTGAATGACACCAGCTTTCTATACTGATATTTTACAAGCTAACTTAAACAGATGTTATAATAGTTTAGAATGAGGATTAACAAGTCCACCTAAACCTCACGCATTTGTAAGTTTACCTAAACAAAGTAATATATTTATAATATAAATATAATCCTAGTTTGATAATAATACTTTGTCGTTTTATTTAATAGCATATAAATATTGTTTAGAGCTCTATTTCATAGCCTCAAATTTATAGCTTATTATTACTAACCCAGCTGTACAGCTGGTTTCGTTTCATATGGAAAAATTTTTATGAATCTAGTTTAAGTAATATTAACTAAGAATAAGCGAAGAGGCGAGGACCGAAGGGACTACGAAGTCGCCCTTCTATGAAATATTCCTCGCTTCATTTATTCTTAGGGTAAGTCTTATTAGCTCAAATGGTAGAGCAAAATACTTCTAATATTTGTATCCTAGTTCGAGTCTAGGGTGAGATTAAACCTCCATAATAAATTACATATTAATTATAGATATATTTAATTACTGGTAGTTTTTTGCTGAATATATAAAATTTAATACTAAAAAATACAGCACAGTAGTTAGTGCTAGTGTTTATTTTTTTTATAAATGTGGTGATTGTGTGTGTGAGACCTCCGTGGTTTCATATATACACGCTAGTGTTATACAATGCACAATAAACTTTAAATTAATGTATAGCATTAATACTAAGTATATTATTATTTATAAATATTAGTAGACTAGTTTAAGAGCTTGTGCCTATGTATATAAAAATTACTAGCATAGCTTGCTTGCGCTACGCGCTACAATCGGTATTATTAATTTTATATAATATAAAGAGGAATTTATATAAATGAATTTTAAGCCAATAATTTTACAAAAAAATAAATGAGAAATTCTATAACGCTTATATCTATTATTGAAACAATAATACTTATGTTGCCTGCTCTTTTAGTTGTAGCTTATGTTACAGTAGCCGAAAGAAAAACTATGGCAAGTATGCAAAGAAGATTAGGGCCTAATGCAGTAGGTTATTATGGTTTATTACAAGCATTTGCGGATGCATTAAAATTAATATTAAAAGAATATGTTGCACCTACACAAGCTAATGTTATATTATTCTTTTTAGGTCCAATAGTAACTTTAATTTTTGCTTTACTAGGTTATGCCGTAATTCCATACGGTCCTGGTTTATCATTAGGAGATATGGAATTAGGTATTTTATTTATGTTAGCTGTATCTTCTTTATCCACTTATGGTATATTATTAGCAGGATGAAGTGCTAATAGTAAATATGCTTTCTTGGGATCTCTTAGAAGTACTGCCCAATTAATAAGTTATGAATTAGTTTTAAGTTCTGTATTATTAATTATTATATTAATAACTAATAGTTTAAATTTAAATGTAAATGTTCAATTCCAAAAAATCACTTGATTAGCTTTACCTTTATTTTGTATATTAATAATATTTTTTATAGGTTCTGTTGCAGAAACAAATAGAGCCCCTTTTGATTTAGCAGAGGCTGAATCTGAATTAGTTAGTGGATTTATGACAGAACACGCAGCTGTTATTTTTGTTTTCTTTTTCCTAGCTGAATATGCTAGTATTGTATTAATGTGTATTTTTACAAGTATTTTATTTTTAGGTGGATATTTAATTAATTTTGATTATTCTTATTTACTATATAATTTTTATTACTTAGGAAGTGGAGCAGAAAATGATTATACATTAATGAGAGAAAATTTTTTAAATAGTCCTTCATTTAATGGATTATTATCTAGTTTAACTTTAGGTATAAAAAGTTCTGCTATGGTTTTTGTATTTATATGAGTTAGAGCTTCTTTCCCTAGAATACGTTTTGACCAGTTAATGTCTTTCTGTTGAACTGTATTATTACCTATATTATTTGGATTTATCTTTTTAATTCCTTCAATATTATATATTTTTGGTGTATTTTTTATTAATATTAACTTAATATAATTAATAGCTTTATTTCTTAACTTTATAGCAAGTGTGTTACTACGTAGTGAATACTACGTAGTAAACCGCGCGATTTTGCATCTTGCTATACTATAACAAAATGTAGTAGATTTATCGCGATTTTTGTGCCATGAAACACGTGTGCATAGGTGAAAAGTATTTAAGCTCTAAAATAATTATCGTTTGGATGTATGTTATTATCAAATTTGATTGGTTTACCTATAGTAGGGGTAGTTGGTGTCGCTAGTATAACCGTCTATCGACATGATTATTATGCTAAATTAATTTCATTAGCTGTTAGTGTAATAAATTTTATTATTTCATTATTTATATTTATACTATTTCATAATAGTACAAACCATTTTCAATTTGTACAAGAACATTATAATACTCAATATTTTGATTTATATTTAGGAGTAGATGGTATTTCCATTTATTTTGTATTATTAACTACAATAATAATGCCTATTGCATTATTATCTAATTGAAATTCTATAAAAGAAAATGTAAAATCATATTTAATTGTAATGTTATTATTAGAAAGTTTATTATTAATTGTATTTATGGCTGCAGATATTATGTTGTTTTATATATTTTTTGAAAGTATATTACCTCCTCTGTTTTTATTAATAGGAATATTTGGATCTGATAATAAAGTTAGTGCTAGTTACTATTTATTTTTATATACATTATGAGGTTCTTTATTTTTATTATTATCTATATTAAGTACATCATCTATTATGGGTAGCACAGATTTTGATGTATTATTTCAATTAGGGTTTGATTATAAAGTTCAGATATTCTTATTTATAGGAATATTTATAGCCTTTGCAGTAAAAACTCCTACAATTTTCTTAAATAATTGACTATTAAAAGCTCATGTTGAATCACCCTTAGGTGGAAGTATAGTATTAGCTGGAATTGTTTTAAAATTAAGTTTATATGGGGTATTTAGATTAATATTACCTATATTACCTCAAGCTTCTTTAGATTATACTTTTATAGTATATACTATAAGTGTAATAACAATTTTATATGCTAGTGTAAGTACAATAAGAACTACAGATATTAAAGAATTAATTGCCTACAGTTCTGTTTGTCATGCTGCTGTATATTTAATAGGAGTATTTAGTAATACTATACAAGGATTACAAGGAAGTATTATATTAGGTTTAGCACACGGATTCGTTTCTAGTGGTTTATTTATATGTGCTGGTGGTATCCTTTATGATAGAACTCATACTAGAGTATTATATTACTATAGAGGTGTAGCTCAATTAATGCCTATATTTGCTATATTATTCTTCATATTGGCTTTAGGTAATTGTGGTGCTCCTTTAACTTTAAATTTTATAGGTGAATTTATGTCACTTTACGGAATTATAGAAAGATTACCTATCTTAGGAGTTTTGGCCGCAACTTCTATTGTATTCTCTGCTGCTTATACAATATATATGTATAATAGAATATCTTTTGGAGGATCATTTACTAAATTAATCCAATTAGGATTAGTAGATCTGAATAAAAGAGAATTCTTGTTATTATTTATATTAGTTATATTTACAGTAATATTGGGTGTATATCCGGGAATTATAATCAATTTATTAGATTATTCTATGAACAGTGTAATATTCAATATTCCTGCGCTGTCTTGCGTATAATATAGCAAAATGTAGCAGATTTGGCACGATTTTTGTGCCTTGCTATTTCATAAGAAAAACCAAGATCTAAGTAAATATGAACTCACTATCCTGTATTGTATCTATTTATTATATAT